CGCCGTAAAGTGTTTGGAGAACATGTCCTTTAAGACTCTCCATGACGTAACTGATTCGGGCTCCAGACTTTTATACCAGGTCATGGCGCCTTTCCTCAGAGTCGTCGGGAAGAGCCTGCACTTGATAGCTCCCCGGACGTTTCGGTAGTCGAGCATGGCCTCGATGTCCTCTAGGTGATCGTCCGGGTCGGAGGTGTCGTCGTACGTCGACAGCGTCGGTGGCTTCTCCATCCCTTGGGGTATGGGGGCAGCCATGATTTCTCGGGACAGCGGGGTGCGATAATCGTCCTCGTCGCTGGGTGTCGGGGATCGATGGGGAGACGAGCCGTTCAAAGTAGGGCCCTGGTTTCGGGTTCTCGACCTCCTGCCTGAGTTTTCGCCTCGGGGATCCCCGGTCGGGATCGCCGCGGTGCTTTGGTTCTTCTCGCGAATTTGTCTTGCTGGAGACCTGGTGCGTTCTCGCGCTACCTGTGCGCGGTGCCTCTCTAGCCGTGGCCGGCGATTTCTGGGTCGAGGTGAGGGACTCCTCGAACCTCCATTCTGGTCTTCCCGCGGGGGGTACCTCGGAGGGTCGACGCATTCCAATGCTCCAATTCTCGCGTTTTGCTGGGCCAGCAGCTGGTTCGTCTGGTTGATGGCTGTAAAGAGGGCGGCCACCGTCGGGTCCGCTCCCGCCGGGATGGGAACGGGTTGGAATGCTGGCGGGCCTGGGGGCCGGTGGTCGGCCTGAAGGGGTCGCTTTGCGGATGACGGCGAGGCAGTTTGGCTGTCCCTCTCGTCGGTTTCCGTCGGACGCGTCGTTTCCGTCTGCTTGTTTCCGTTGGTGGCGACGTTGAGCGCGAGGTCGTGCGGAGTGCCGTCGCGGTGTGGGCTGGCCATGATCGTGGAGTGTTGGTGAAACTTTGGTTTTTTGCTCGGAGTAACAGGGAAGTTTCTGTTCCCACAGACGGCGCCACTGATCTGACCTAATCAGAAGGAGATCACGGGCTGGCCACACTCTGTTGGACTGCTGCTTGCTCGCCGATGATGAGGAAGAAAAAGGGGGGTGTACCTGCAAAACACTCTGATGGCAAAGTGAGAAGTTGGGCAGAGCGATGGCGAAGTACAGAAAAAGGGGTAAGAAGTGTGTTACCTGACCCTCTTGAGGAAGAGGGTATTTATAGAGAGACCTCAGCGCTGGGCCAACGGTCACTTACGTTGGGCTGGATTGTCAGGCCCAACCTAGGTGACTGCTAGGGCTTACGTGGCGTGGTGAAGACCAGGACGTGGTCTTCGCCCTAGTCCAACTTCTCTTTGATCTCCGGAAAGTGGGTTTGACCTGCTCTTTCGGAGGTGGACAGTTGGTTGATGACGTGTCCCCGCGGAGGGGAGCACGTGCACCGGGCACGTTGTTCTCCCCGCGGAGGGGAACGCGAGGATGTGGAGGAATCAAAAGTCTCGCTTCGACGCACCGGGGTGTGTCTTGTTCGGCCGATAAGAGAGAACGTCGAGATGCCGTCGGATGCGTCGCCTATGGTTGTGTCCTGCCCGTCCTGTGGCTGTGCCGTGCCCGGTGTGGCCAGTTCACTTATTGGGTCGTGCGTGGTATTGGGCTAGACCAAGGTTGGGCCCAGACCGGAACACTTTTTAACATATTAATATTTAATTAGTCCAATAGGTAAAAAACAGATGGATGTGAAGAGTTTTCAACCATGTAAAAAAATAGAATATGTTAATTACATTGATAACCTTGAGTTAAACATATTTATTTTAGGTGTAAAAGGTATAAATGGATGAATGCTGACAATAAATAGTAATGGATAGATAGTTGATTAATATTTTATTTTATTTATTTTAAACTTAAAATAAAATTAATTTAAATATTTAAATATAAAAAATTTTAATTATTATAAGTTAAAAGCAAAAGAATTATTAAAACAACATAAAAAATAAAAGGAAAATGAAATAAAATATATAAAACTATCTATTTGTTGTGTTTAGTATTATTATATATGAAGCAACGTCATGTTGTTCAACTCCAATGGCATTTTGTTGAAAAATACAATGTTGCTATCCACTCCACTCCATACTGGCGAACCCATTCCATTCTGGTTCAACCTCTGTTGAAAGTAAGAATGTAAATGGATATCCATGGGAGCAAATAATGGCGAACCCATTCCATTCTGGTTCAACCTCTGTTGAAAGTAAGAATGTAAATGGATATCCATGGGAGCAAATAATATGATGCCTACTCCGTTAGATAAATATAATATTCGTATCTGCCCCATATCCATGCGATATCAATTAAGCGGATAATCCACGAGTTTTAAAGTATCCGCAAATATTTACAAATATCCATGAATAACTTTTTTTGTCTAAAATTATTTTTTAAAAATATATTTTTTCGTTCTCAATTTAACAACTAAATATCATCATATTATTTTATTCTTTTTTCACTAAAACATAATAACATTCAAACATAATATCCATACATTTTATTTTTAACAAAGTAAAATTCATCATACCATATAATAATTGTTTAAATAAAATAAAAAGTAATAATGCAAATAGTTTTCATCAATCATTACAAAATTTCATATTATGCATTCCTAAATATGATTTTTCTTGAAATGTGAAAGATTTTCTTTTTCTTCCAAAAAAAAATTTAAAAAAAGAAATATGAAAAGGCTAAATTTTTGAAAGATATAATGACATCTATAATAAATTAAAAATATTTAAATATTTTTTATAATTTATTAAAAGATATGGGTATCCACAGGTACGGGTATCATTAAACCTGTATCCACATCCATATTTTAACGAATATTTAAATATTCATTTATTTTGTTCTTAGATATCCATTAAACTATCCGCGAATACCCACGGGCACGGGCTTTTTTGTCATCCCTAGTTGAAAGTGCTCTAAAGAACTAAAAACTCAATCGTTTATAGAAGAATTGACAAGGGCATCCACTTGACCATATGAATTGAACTAGGAAATAAATATACAATGCTATAAAAAAAATAAACGGGACTCAAAAATAAAATTAAAAAAAAAAAGACCACCCCACTAAACCATCTACATAAATAACTAAAATACCAAACTTTATGAAATAAAGAACAATATACTGATATTCAGCATAGGTAATGAATAATGGAATTGTAGAAGTTCCCGAACCCCAAGAACTATATCAGTTCTAAGGAACTAAAAACTCCTCATAATTTATATAAGCATACGGTAAATTCACTTGACCTATATATATTATTAAGCTAGAGAAATAAGTAACCAATGCTAAATCATTCCAACAAATAAAAAGCATAAACTTTTTTAAAAAATGGATCAAATATGAAACTCCTCTTTGTTCTTTTCTTCACGTGATAGAGCACAAATTTTTTAGTAATGAAGAATATCTCAACCTGAATAATAGCATGCAAATATTGAAGGGGGGAATGAATTGTAGGAATTCCCGAACCCCAAGAACTATATTTGAGTTCTAAGGAACTAAAAACTCCCAATAATTTATGTAAGCATTGAAAGAGGTATTCATTTGACTCATTGATTAAGCCAGAGAATTAAGCAATGCTAGATCGCTTTTACTATAAGTTAAAAGCTATAGCAAAGAACATTACTATGGATATTGAACGATAGTAGTAAAAATTGTAGGAGTTCCCGAACCCCAAGAACTATAAAAGTTCTAAGGAACTAAAAACTCCAAATCATTTATTTAAGCATTGAATGACGTATTAATGACCCATATGTAATAAGCCAAATAATTAAGTAAGCAATGCTAAATCATTAAGTTCTACAAATAAAGATAAAGTTTGGAACCATAAATAGTTACTGAATATAAGACCGGTTAAATGAAGAACCATAAACTTGAATTCATTTAAGAACGTTTAATAAGTTAAAAAACTTGTAGGAGTTCCCGAACCCCAAGAACTATGTATAAGTCCTAAGGAACTAAAAACTCCGCATAATTTATATAAGCATTCACAATTGCATCCACTAAAACTCATGTATTGAGCCAGAGATCAATCAAGTAAGCAAATGCTAAATCGTTTCTACATACAAAAACACAACCATACAAAGATTTGCTAAATTCAAAACCATAGACTTGTAGGAGTTCCCGAACCCCAAGAACTATATAAAAGTCCTAAGGAACTAAAAACTCCATATAATTTATATAAGCACCGACAAATGTATCCACTAAACTCATGTATTGAGCCAGAGATCAATCAAGTAAGCAATGCTAAATCGCTTCTACATACAAAAACACAACCATACAAAGATTTGCTAAATTCAAAACCATAGACTTGTAGGAGTTCCCGAACCCCAAGAACTATATAAAAGTCCTAAGGAACTAAAAACTCCACATAATTTATATAAGCATCGACAGATGTATCCACTAAACTCATGTATTGAGCCAGAGATCAATCAAGTAAGCAATGCTAAATGGTTTCTACCTACAAAAACACAAACCTACAAAGACTTGTAAAATGAAAAACCATAAACTTCTTCAATTAAGCACGTTTCATAAGTTGAATTAATCCAAACTATAAGGGAAGAAAATGTAGGAGTTCCCGAACCCCACGAACTATACAAGAGTTCTAAGGAACTAAAAACTCCTAAAGCATTGACAAGTGCATCCACTAAACCCATATGTATTGAGCCATGGATCAATCAAATAAACAATGCTACAACAAAAAACAAAAATGCAAATTCAGAAATCAAAAATCCCAAATCCCAAATATCACAGTTCCTACACATAAAATCATACGACTCATTCACGAAAAATTCGTTTCCAGTTTCCACCATCTTTATGCCTTTGTTTTTCTCACAAATTTCAGATCCGCTGCAGCATTAGAAATTGTCAAATAATCAACAACTACAAATTCAATAGAACAAAAAATAAACCATAGAAAATGATAAAAATTGAATTAATTTATGGTAACATGGAGTATTAAACAAAAAATAGATACAAACAGAGATTATCATTACAAATTCACAACAAAATCTTAAATTAGGGTTTAGGGTTAGGATCCCCTTGTTTGTAAAGCTTATCATATTCTTCAAGCTGGTCATAATATACATCCCAAACACATCGAACGCATCCGCTACCACAACAATCGTCGGGATCTGGTTTCTCCGGCGGAGGAGGAATCTCCTTCTTGTCGGCGTGAGAATCAGGTTTAGGTTGAATCGGGTGTGGCGCGGGTGTATTAGAGGTTCCTACGGGCTCGGCCATACGATAGGACTGGAGGAAGAAACGGGGTGAGGTTGTTTGAAGGCGAGGGTTTGTGGTTGTGGCGGCTATGGTGTTTCTAGGGAAGAGTTTTTGTGTGAAATCGAAAGCTACTGCTTTCATGGTGAATAGCGCCGCCACCAAATCATTTTTGTAGCAACCACGACGGTGAATGTTAGGAACCACTCGTGTCCTTTTATACAACCCTGATTTCGTTTTTCTTATTATTGTTTTTTTTTTTTTTTATTGTTTGTTACGCTTTTATTTGACAAGCTTTTTTTTAACTGCCGTAAAAAGAATTTATGGCCAGATTAGATTTACGAAATCTAATGCTGATTATAAGGTTTTTGTTTGACTCTTACCGACTACTGCAAATTTAAAGATTTTGTTGGTACGTTGATATATGTGAGTAATTTTGTAAATGTTTGATTTTCAGGGTTTTTTTTTTGGAAATTCTAATTTCACTCTATTAGATAGAAAAATAATACTCCTTCTATTTTTTTTATAAGTTGTTTTAGACTTTTTTACAGATACTAAGGAAGTTATTAACTTTTGCTAATTTTGTAAATATATTATAGGATATTTCAATATTATCCTTTTTAAAAACACTTAAAATATATCAGATTAATTATTATGATTTGTAAATGGAATATCTAGATTGCATTTATTCCAATATATTCCATGAATAAAACATTAAATTAATTAAATTTATACGTGTCTTTTTCTATCCTACACTAATTCCTTATTTTTCTCCCTCCCAAATTTTCCATCACTCACCAAAAGATACGCTAAAACACTCTGGAGAAAAAATTAAGATTTTTTTTTTGTTAAATTTTTCCCTCCAAATTCTTATGGCTCTTCGTTAATTTTTTTCAAATTTCCCTCTAAATATTTCATTGTACTTCTTTTTTGTATTATCAATTTTCTATAAATTTAGACTAACTCACCCTGTATTATGATATTAAAATGGCTTTAAATCACATTGAAAAAATCACAAATTAATATAGAGTTTTATGAGAGAAAGATTTTTTCTATAAAAAGTTGGACTAATGCATTGAAAACAATATTCATAATGTCACTCTGCATTGGAATACAAGATTCACTGAATTATGAAAATTATAGAAAAAAAAGATGAATTAGGGGTATTTTAGGAAGAAAAAAATTAATTCTACATAGAAATTACAAAACGACTTATATTTTGGCACAAATTTTTTTTCCAAAACGACATATAATTAAAAATGGAGGGAGTATATGAAAATTCGAAAATTTCAATCGATTTTTAGAGATATATTTTCGAACGCATTATTTGCATCACTTTATGACGCGTCAAATGAAAGTCACTCTATGTTAAAACAAAATTTTATTTCATAGATATATCTTCTAACATATCAATTCAACTTCTTGTTTTTTGGGCATTACAATGGAGTTTTCAAATATGTATTTTTGAAATTTGAAGCGGCAAATTAAAAATGGGTCACCTTTGCATGTCAATCATTTCTGGAGATTCATTTTCATAAATATCAAACTTTGTTTTAATAAAACAGTCACTTGCATGATCAGACCGATACCCATTTTTTTCTAAAATCCTTTTCCAAAGACCATTAATTCTCAATCAAGATTTTCACTGCAAAACTTCATTCTTATGTTTCATCACATCAAAAGGAGCTAAAAAAAATTGAAATTCAAGGTAAAGATCATTTATTTCAAGTCTCATTGCTCATATTAATCTTGTTTTGAAGCTGAAAAAACTTACGTATAATCCGGATATGTATTTCTGGAGTCTGTATGAATTCATCCGAAAATGCAGTTTTAGAGGCTGTTTGTTTTCATTTTTCAGCTATCTGTTTTCAATTTTAGCAGTTTTTGCGTACTATATGTTATTGTTTTCATTATATATGGTGCACCCCCAATATTTTCCCCAAACTTATTGTGTCTTTGGATGTCAAACATGTTGTTGTAAATGAGGTAGATGTTGGCAACCAATTTAAAAATGACTAAGAGTTTGAATTTTGTGATCACATGCTTCAATAGATTCGTACGAATGCACCCCAACGAGAGTTTTATGTTGTAATCGGAAGGTTCGATAATGGTTCGGATAGAAAATGTGCATTTGTGACAATGTCATGCGAAAGAAGTGGGAAGTATAGACCTCCTCTCCAGAATTTCAAACGAGGTGACACTAGTTCAAGAAAATGCGAGTGTTCATTTAAGTTGTTTGTGTTAGAACACAGATTGTGTTTAATATATCTCATAGTTTTTATGATAACATTAATGAAATTTTGTATAGAGAACTTATATACTCTAATTTTGTTCAAGTGTTTATTTGTTTCAGATATCAAAATTAATATTATTCTGGAAGCAAGAACGCCTCTGAACACTAAAGAACGAGAAAGCTCTGAGCGTCAGAAGCAACACATCAGAAGACTCTGATCTGCTACAATGACTCTGAGCGAAGCTAAGAAGAACTTGAGTGAAGAACATACGCAAAGCTTCAGAAGACTCTGGATGTACTCAACGCTGCAAGTACAGAAGCTCTAATAAGCAAGTATGCTCTGATAAAGTATTTCACGCTTAAAACACTTGGCTGCAAACTCTGATAGAGAAACTCTGAGTGAGTTAACTCTGATCTGAAGAACTAGGAACATCATCAGAAGTTCTGATACAAGACGTTCCAAAGTTATTGAAGAAGATGTTGTTCAAATAAAGATTCGTTGGCATATTCTTTGGCATTATCCAAATGGCTATTTCCTCATTCGTGGTTGACACAGGATTTTAGACAAAATGGATTTGTCAAAACATTCCTCTTCTGAGAAAGGAAAAGTCAAGAGAAGACAAAAAGAACAGAATGCACAGATTGCACAGTCTTTGAGAAATGGATTTCAAAGTACTATAAAGGCAAGTCTAAGCATCACTTCAAGATTGACGATTTTATTGACGAAACTATTGGAAAATTATTCAAAGCACTCATTCAAATATTCTCAAGCTAGAATAGTTTTCATATTCGTTTTTTAACTTGTGTAAAAATCACTATTGTGATATAGCTTTCTAGAAGCACATCTTAAACACACTATTAGTTTATCTTTGTAAAAGATTTCCTTAAGAAGACCAAGTTGTGGTCAAAATTTCTTGAGAAGACTAAGACAGTTGTCTTAGTGGTTTACATTGTAATCAAGTTTGATTTATTGGATTAAGTCCTTATTGAGAAAGGCAAATCACCTTGGTAGGGTGGACTAGATTAGTTTGAGTTCAAACGAATCAGGATAAAAATACTGTGTTATTTTTCTATCATCTTAATCGTTTTAAAACCCTTATTCAACCCCCCCCCCCTTCTAAGTGTTTTTCCTACCTTTAGTTGGCATCAGAGCTCCGGTTCTGTAAGTGCTCTCACTTAACCGTGACAGAAAAAGATCCTGTTGGGAAAAACTCTTAATCTATTGTTCTTGATTTATCATGGCTGCTGAAGCTTCAACTTCAACTTCATACAACAATAAATACGATGATAAAGACAAAATCAGCACCAAACCTCCCATGTTTGATGGTGAGAAGTTTGATTACTGGAAAGATAGAATAAAAAGTTTCTTTCTAGGCTATGACGCTGACTTATGGGATTTGGTTACTGATGGTTATATTCATCCTACAAATGATGAAGGAAAAAAGGTTGACAGAAAGTCTATGTCTGATCAACAGAAGAAGGAGTTTAGAAACCATCACAAAGCGAGAACCATTCTATTAAATGTTATATCTCATACTGAGTATGAGAAAATAACAAATAGAGAAACAAAATTTGATATGTTTAAATCTCTTAAAATGACGCATGAAGGAAACTCCTAAGTAAAGTAGACAAAGGCTCTGGCCCTCATCCAGAAGTACGAAGCCTTCAAAATGGAGGAGTCTAAATCTGTGGAAACTATGTTCTCAAGATTTCATATCCTAACTGCTGGGTTGAAGGTTCTAGATAAAGGTTACTCCACTTCTGACCATGTCAAGAAGATAATCAGAAGCTTGCCAACAAGGTGGAGACCAATGGTGACAGCTCTGAAGCTTGCAAAAGATCTGAATAAGATCACTCTGGAGGAACTGATCAGTTCCTTAAGGAGTCATGAGATTGAGTTGGAGGAAGACGAGCCTTAGAAGAAAGGTAAGTCTATTGCTTTAAAATCTAACAAATCTGCTAAAGCTTTGCATGTTATTGAAGAAAGCTCTGAAGAATCTTTAGAAGAAGAAGATGAATTGTCTTTGTTGTCCAAGAGGATAAACCAACTCTGGAAGCATAAACAAATGAAGTTCAGAAACTTCAAGAAATTTGATCAGCGTGGCGATTCTTCTGGACATAAGAAATCTGGAAAGAAAGATGTAGTGTACTACGAGTGCAAGAAGCCTGGCCACTATAAAAATGAATGTCCCAAACTTCTGAAGGAGAAAACCAGAAGGAAGTTTGAAAAGAAGAAGAAAGTCCTAATGACCATGTGGGATGATTCAGATGCTTCTGAATCTTCATCAGAATCAGAAGATGAATGTGCTAATGTAGCACTGATGGCTGACATGGAGGACCACGAAGAAACTGCTGAATCTGGATCAGAATCAGATTCAGAAGAGGTATTTTCTGAACTTTCTAGAGCTGAACTTACTGAAAGTTTATCTAAAATTCTTGAAAGCTACAGCAAGATCAAACTCATATACAAGCGGCTTCAAAGTTGTCTTGCATCTGAGAATGGTCAGCTGAGATCAGAAGTTGCTGAGCTTAAAACAAACAATCTTAAAATGAAAAATGATTTAGAAAAAACTCAAAAATATGACTCAGATCCTATACCATGCTCTAAAAACATTTTAGAAGAGTATGACTATAGCTTTCAGAAGTTTCTGTCCAGAGGCCTAGATAGAAGCAAGATGGCTTTCATGATCTATGGCGTAAGCAGAAACAACAGAAAGGGAATTGGATATGAATCACCTTCTGGAAATGATTTAAATTCAAAACTTGTTGATAAACTGACCATTAAGTATTCTCCTCTGTATACTCACTTCAAATATGGTCATTTAAATGATATTAAGCACACACGTTCTGATCAGAACAAACTTGTGTTTAATAAATCAAAACCTCAGCAGAACAAAGATGCTTTTAAGGG